TTGACGAAATCTACAAATTAAATGATGCTCATTTGTGTGCTATCAAATTATTTACGATACAATTAGATATAAAAATGAGATTACCCAATGAGAAAATAGCGAGAGAAAACCAATTGGCAATTTTGTTTTGCAGCGCTAATGTTGCATAACTGAGAGGTCCATTTGCGAATAAGTTTTGCAATTGAAATGGCCATATGGACTTGTGTTCACGCCCATGTGAGAGTCAGTGATGTCGGAAGGCGTAACATACGACACCCTCATTCTCTGTCTGGCAGTACATCTCTCCTCGAGACACATAGGTGAAGTCGTCCGCGGAGCAAAACACGGAGAAGTAACCTAAATGCAGAGCTTATATTTCTTGAAGGCTAAGTTTACTCTAATGACTAACCCCCAAATTTTTCTTCTGCGATTCTTTGAATTAGTCGCTTGGCCACTGATGGCGATCGGTATGAAATCTAGGAAACTAATTAATTTTAGGAAAATCGAAGCTTTATTAGCAGACCTTGCTCATAACTTCTTTGAGCTCTTTGCTTGAACATCGTTGATCTTTCTGCTCTGCATCCAAAGTTGAGTTAGGATCCTTGCCACCGGCTTTGACCGTCTTCGCCGATTTTGCGAGCACCTGAGATGGACGAAAGTCTAGGTTAAAGCTCTGTAATGTAAGAGAAGCGATTAACTTTTGAAAAGCCACAGAATCCGAAATAAAACTGAGGTGTGAAATTGTTATGGCTTTTTTAGTGAGCTAATATTTCACAACATCTTTTCACTATTAACAGGTTTTCCACTTACTCATTTATACATTTCATTGCTATAAAAAACTCAAAATAGCTCGAATCGATGATTAGAGGAATGAGCCGCGCTGTGCTTTTATAAGCGAAGTTTTATCAATGAGACTCAGTGAATAACATACCCTTCTACCTCTCGGCCCACACACGGCAGCACAGCGTCCACAGCAATCATTTACAGGTGGCCTATATCCCGGCTGTACATAACCTGCTAAGCAAACATTTGATAAAATTGTCAACAATTTCTTCCTGCAGAAATTTTCTTTCTGCTTAGTACTATGGGATGTTATTGTCAAAACCAACCTCCTGGCAACGGTTGATGGTATGGAGGTGGAGGAGGAGGAGGGAGTGGTGGCGGCGGAGGAGCATATGTTGGCATAGGGGCATATGGTGTCACGTATCCTCTTGGCATGTAAGGGGCTGGTCGATAGTGTGGTGGGAGCATTGGGATACAGCCTTAACATATATGAAAGGCTGAAGTCTGCAAGGCAGGCATGCCACAGTATTAGAAAGTTGGGTGCCTTTCGCAAGCGATTTAAGTAATGGAGCGCATTTACCAGATGGTAATGCTATTATTCAAGCAACTGCTCAATCTTGTACTCCTCTATCTGCTAAATATAACATAGGTTAGGTGAAACGACATACGTACCCCTCACAACTTTTGTGAAAAAAGAAAAAAATGTGATTTTATATAAAAATCCTGACTTCTTTCAAATAGATATTTTTTAGAGGAAAAGCGGTGTTAGACACAGACCTCGGCGGCAGGTCTCCGGAAGGCAAGCTGGAATTCGTTTTCGTGG